CTCTAATTTTTCCTAGACACTCTGATTTTACTTATGTCTCTCACCTTTGCTTTCCCTCCATCCCCCACCACAACAGTAACTTGCTCCAGGCTCACTTTGCTCTAGTGTCTAGGACAGTGGTCGGCAAACTGTGGCTCGCGAGCCACATGCAGCTCTTTAGCCCCTTGAGTGTGGGTCTTCCACAAAATACCGACTTCTGCGCATGGGTCACAAAGTTTCAATCGCACTGTACGTGCACGCCCGCAAGTGGTATTTTGTGGAAGAGCCACACTCAAGGGACCAAAGAGCCACATGTGGCTCGCAAGCCGCAGTTTGCCAACCACTGGTCTAGGAGATCTGTATGCCATCAGAACTATGATTCCCAGCATCCCTGGTGCTCCCCGCACTCTGGGCTTCTGCTTCAAGTCCTGGGGCTGCCACCAGAACTACTATTCCCAGAATTCCTGGTGCTCCCCATGCTCTTGGTTTTCCCTTCCTGCTCTATCTCCATCCCACGGCCTCCCACTCTGCCAAGTCCTCCAACCCGCCAGCTCTCCCTCTCTGCTCTCCATCTGGCAGCTTGGGGAGCCAAGTTCCCCAAGTCGCTCCACTCTCTGCTGGCTCTTCTGCTCTGCTCTCCGCCTGGAGGCTTGCGGGGAGCAACCAAGGGGGCCACGTCCCCCCAAGCCACTGGCTCTCCCGCTCTGCTCTTCGCCCAGTGCCTGTGTATGCAAATTAACCCACTATCTTTGTTGGGTTAATTTGCATACTCAGTCCTGATTGGCTGGTGAGTGTAGCAGAGGGATGGGCAATTTACATGTTTCTCTTTTATTATATAGGATACTAGTGTCCCAGTGCATGGATTCATGCACATTGAAAGGAAATTAATTAGAAGATATATTTTAATATCACTATTCGCCCTTTCTCTATCATAAAAGTGTCAACCAAATTCATGATCAACAATGACAGATCAAAACACATGTGTGCAATTGACGCCAGTGAGAGCTTTATACATGAAAATAAACTTGCTTAATTAGACCTGCTTTCTGATTTAGCTAAACTTTTTCCAGCCCAGTGAAGCACCCCAACTTCAGGTAATGGTCAGTAACACAGCAGTAAATATCAACACAAAGCACAATATTATTGTAGATTACGCAGTGAGAACAAAGGGTGAAATATTTAACTGCAGCAGTGTTTGACTATATTTTGCACAGTGAGAAAACCTGAAGTCATTTTCAAGATCCACCATTTCTTACTTCTTTTAAGTTGGGTCAAGTTTCTAAACTTTCTAAATCTCTGTTTTCTGGCTAATGAAAATAGGTTTTCACCAAGTCTCCTATCTCCCTACTCCAGGACTTCTGTGAGGATCAAATGAGATGAGGCACATGAAAACACTTCACAAACACTTGGTTAAATTGTAAAATGTTTGCACCTGGCTATAAAGCAAGTTGGGTTCTTGGGCTGAAGAAACTCCAAGGAAGCTAGTTGCTAGAGAGAGGAAGCCGGGCATTGCTACGTGATGTCATTACCCAGCACCCACAGCAACCGTTTCTGGGCTGGGCTGGGCTGGGCTGTGGACCACATTTTGTACCATAGGGTCTTAGGAGCATCAGCTGTAATTTGGTGGGGTGTCGCTCCAGGGTGGTGGTGGGGCCTGTGTCCACTTGGGGGAAGCCGAGTGTTGGTTTGTTGGCGCCAGGTCTGTGGTGCCATTTATTCTTAAATGGCCAGTGCGCATCATGGCAGTTCCTGCATTGAACATCTTCCCCCTGGTGGCCAGTGCTCATCATAGCTGCCAGTTGGACAGATGGACATTTAGCCTTTTATATACCTACTAAAGCCCCAGTGCATGAATTCGTGCATGGGTGGGGTCCCTCCTGGCCAATCAGGGCTGTCTTGCCCAGTCCTGATCGGACCGGCTGGGGGAAGGGACCGTGGGAGGTTAGCCGGCAGCAGGAGGTTGGCTGTGGGAGTGCACTGACCACCAGGGGGCAGCTCCTGCATTGAGCATCTGCCCCATGGTGATCAGTGTGCGCCATAACTACCAGCCAGTTGTCCAATGGTCCGGTAGTCTGGTCATAACGGTCACTTAGGCTTTTATATATATAGATATAGATACTAAGACTAGATAGTATTTTTCCTGTGAATTCTTAGATCAATCAGGATATGCTATATTATGCTGTAGTAAGAACTTCAGCAAAATCTTAGTGGCTTATGCTGATAAAGATTTATTTTTCACTCACACTGTATACATTGCATACAGACTGGAGTCTCTATTAGTGTAGAAACTCAGACATCCATGCCAAAGAATATTTCATCTCATTCACAATAATCACTGCCTCAGGCAAAGAGAATTCAATGAATTGAGTATTGGCTTTTAAATCTTCATCTCAAAAAAACAAAACATTATTTCAATTCAAATTTTATTATTTTATTGCACAGTGCAAACCACATGGCCATACTTATCTCAAAGACATTAGTGGTTTTCAGTCCTATCATGTACCTTGGAAGGATAAATAGGTGAATATTTCTGAACAGCCTAATTGATTACCACACTCTTCCTAGGAAAGCTCTCTATAATGTAATGACTATGTTGACATAGTAAATGCAGATAACATTGAGCAAGGGCATAAAGATAAAGCATAATATGGTAAAAAAAAAAAAAGTGCTAAAGGTGACCAGGAAAATTTAGTGCTAATACATAGCTCTTTGCTGGTCTACCTTAACTAAAGAATATCTCTCAGATGTCTCTAAAGCAGCGGTTCTCAACCTGTGGGTCACGACCCCTTTGGGGGTCAAAGACCCTTTCACAGGGGTCGCCTAAGACCATCAGAAAACACATATATAATTACATATTGTTTTTGTGATTAATCACTATGCTTTAATTATGTTCAATTTGTAACAATGAAAATACATCCTGCATATCAGATATTTACATTACAATTCATAACAGTAGCAAAATTACAGTTATGAAGTAGCAACGAAAATAAGTTTATGGTTGGGGGTCAGCACAACATGAGGAACTGTATTAAAGGGTCACGGCATTAGGAAGGTTGAGAACCACTGCTCTAAAGGAATAGATAAAACTTAATCAGTCCTCAATATTTTCAATATTTTTTCTCAACAAAGCTTTTATACGTATGAAGTAATAGTGAGTTTGAATTTATACTCTTTAAAAATAATATTAATAACAACATTGATTAACATGTAACCTTACAATGTGCCAGGCACTATGATTTGCATATATGCTCTTATTTTTATGCAGTTAACAAGTATATAAGGTAACTATTATCATCTTCCAATTTTATTTGAAGAAGCTGAAGCTTAAAGAAATTCATTTGCCCAAGGTCACGTCATCTACAAATGGCGGAGCTGGTGTTTAAATCTGTTTCCATCTGACTCCAAGGCCTGCGTGCTTAACTCATACACGACTCTGCTTCAGGGTGCAGATTACGTTCACATGTGTGTGCTTTCAACTGTTATCTTTCCAGTATTTCTTTATACAAATGAGAGCAAATATAAAATATGCTTATTTCCTCTCGTTTACTGTATACTAAAGGTAGCATACTGTATAAGTGAATTAAATAATACACACTATACCAGTGATAGCGAACCTTTTGAGCTCGGCGTGTCAGCATTTTGAAAAACCCTAACTTAACTCTGGTGCCGTGTCACATATAGAAATTTTTTGATATTTGCAACCATAGTAAAAAAAAAAAAAGATTTATATTTTTGATATTTATTTTATATATTTAAATGCCATTTAACAAAGAAAATCAACCAAAAAAAATGAGTTCACGTGTCACGCGTGTCATAGGTTCACCATCCCTGCTCTATACAGTGTTCTGCACCTTGCTTCATTTAATGCTATGACTTTCAGGTCTCTACATCAGTATGGGGATTTTCCTCATTGTTTTTTTACAACTGAGTCGTATTCCTTCAAATGGAGGTGCCTTAGTTTATTCAACCACAACTTTATTGCTAAATACATGGGTTGTTTATCATCTCCAAATTTTCAAGTTATGTCACAAATCAATAAACTTGTACCTATGATCTTTCCTACTTATGTAACAGGTTGTGTAGTAAATATTCTCAGGAGAGAAATCACTGGATCAAAGCGAAAATATGTAATTTTGGTAGATATTGTCGGATTCCTCTTCATACATTCTATGCTTTTAAGCAGGTTTTAAAGAAAAGAAATTATGTGGTTTACTACTTTTCTTGCCAATTTTAACTCCAACTCAATCTAATGTTGGTTCCACTCAAAATTTTAAAATGCAGATTCCTTGCTAACCAATCATTTAACCTCTGCCAGAAATAAATCCCCACTTGCCTCTAGTATTTCAGGCTAATATTTAAAATATTCTCATGTATAAATGTTAAAAATCAATTCCAGTGACTTTCCTCAACACCTCAAAGGTTTCGCATCAACATCACAGCCTCTAGATCTAATTGGTCTACCTGGTAACTGACAATAATGAGTGCCAGAATGTAGCATAAGCCTCTTAGATCACCTGTTTTCTCTGCTCTGTGTTAAGATATCTTAATAACCAGCTTTTAGGCTGACTGACATAGCTGATTAAATCGTACAATTCTGTTTTTTAAGACATGGCAAGATTCCCTAGATATCCTCATGTGCACTCATGCTGGTTGCAAGGAAAAATTGCCAGTAAGGGTATGTAGTCAGTATGTGGAAAAGGTGAACTCTAGGATCAAGCCTCCTATTACACTTAACGAGAGGGTCATGAAAAGAGCTCTGGACTCAGAAGCAAAAGACCTAGACCTGTATCTTCTCCATGTATTCTTAATAAATGGTAGCTTAGAGCAAGTCATGAGAAAATAAAATGCAATATTCATTTTCTCTGACTAGGGCAAGCTATAACAATATCCTAAACTTCTCCCATCCTTCTTTGCCTCTGTCCATGTTTAGAGTGAATCGCTAAGAGAAAGAAGGGGCATCATGTCTTTTTGTCAAGAAAAAAAACCCAGAATTTTAAAAAATATTTTATTTTCTATTTTAGCTATAGACTTCAATATGACGAAAATTTTTAAGATCCCATCAGGATATACATTATCCACATCCAAGGACGAATCAAGAATATTAAAACCATCAGCAAAGGTTTGGAATAGAGTGATTATTTTTTTTAAGTTCTTCTATAATTAGCAATATAATTAGTTGAATAGCTTTACATAGACATGTTGAATATTTCATTCTTGGTATATATCTTAGGAAAAAATAATGATCAAAGTGATTTATTGGAAAGTTAATCTAATATAAAAACTCTTGTTTTGTTTTTGTTTTTCCTTAAAAAATCCTCCTGTGTAATGAGAAAAGACATGGTATTTACTTTTTCTCTCATTTCTGGCACTACTCTCTGGATTAACATATAAACGTGACTGTGATCTCAATAAGCATCCGTCAAAGTTGCAGGGAAAATGTCAAAGGAGTTTTTGGTAATGGTTGGCCTGTCCCCACCTCTTAAGCCAGGGTCTTGGAATAACTGAGTACATACATGTAGACACTGTTACTGTTAAGTCTAAAATGCTCTGTTTCTCCACTTTCCTGAAGGTGCCTCCAAAATAGAGATCCTATGGACTTGCTACCTTGTGATGCTTTAGCAAGATTTGATGAGGTTATTGGCTTAAAATTCTGAATTTGATCTCTTGTTAGATTTTAAATTTGTTGAAGTCTCTATTGCTAAAATTTATCTGAATTATCTAGTCAAGTCTGGCCATTATTTTAAATTTTAAACTATGCCTGTATAAAAGCCACTTTCTGAAAGTCAGTATACATATTTCCTGGTCTCTAATAATCCAGGTGTATAGAATCTCTTCCAACCTTCACAGTGCTACAAAGTGTGGTTTGTAAGTACTTAGCATAGAAAGTGGTGATCTCTAGGAGTCAATTTGGGATCCATGACAATATCACACCTTTTTTGGTGGCAGGAGGAGATCACTAGATTTAGAAATCAGGGAAATATAACAGAAATTGTATATCTGATCTTCAGCAAACACTAAAAATGGTCTTGCTTACAAGTTGAAGAAATCTGGACAGATGGATGTGTGACTGTACAACCTTTTCAAGATAACACTATTAAAAGCTAGAAAGCAAATATTGTAGGTACATCTTATTGCATTATTGGTCCTGTCCCATGCAGACTACTTTATCAACAACTTGGATAAAAATATGGTTGCCATTTTATGAGATATGTAGAAGTCATACACATAGAAGAATTATTAATACATTGGATGACAGGCTAAAGTAAAAGGCCTGATCTTAGAAAATAAACTTTTAATATGGAAAAATAGGGGTCCAAAATTACAACTGCTGAGGTACAGTATAATAAGGCCTTGGCTTAGGGGCATCTGAAAAGGCTTGGGAATTATTTTTAACAGTAAGATCTGTATGTGTCAATAGGAGGATGTTGTTGACTCCCAAATCTACTGTATTCTTGGCTATTGAAATAGATACATGGGTTTTACTCTATGCTGATTTGATAATAATTGTGTATTATACTCATTTTGGAGAGCTTCATTATAAAAGAATCTAGACCAAGCATGTCAAACTCAAAGGCTAACACGGGCCAAACAAACAAGGTTTAAGTTTATGTGGCCGCAAAAAAAAAAAAAGCTTCAATTTTCATAGAAACATAGGTCTATTTTGATGGAGATATGCTGAATACAAAGGGCTGAAATAAATGAGTAATCATTAACATAAAATAATAGAACATTTTAATAAAAATTAATATTTTTCTTGAACATTAACTTACCAGACACTGAATAGCTGCACAAATTAATAAGTATAACACAAATAAACCTATTTTTCTTGTTCTCCGAAAGTGAAATATTTCCTATTGAATACACCAAGCAAGTCAGTACAAGACTAATGACATGGCAATCGGCTGCTAAAATATTCAATGCTAGTATTAGTGGAGAGAAATGGTGCGCCTGTGTGTAAGGCATGTAAGGGAAATGAATGCAACACGATTATAGTAATCAGTCATTAGTGAAAGTTGTAGTTCATTATTAATAATTATGTATAACAGGATATTGTAAAAATTAAGCTATGAAATTTCTATTAAAATGTTTCTTACATACAGTTATATTGGCTGGGCCGCAAAAATATTTGTTGTGGGCTGCATGCAGCCCACGGGCTGCGAGTTTGATATGCCAGGTGTAGATAATCTGAAGCATTCTGAACATAATATAACCAGAATGATGAAGGATTCCAAAACCATATTATTTGGGGAATGGTCAAGATATTTAAAGACATTTCTACTAGAAAAGAAAAAACCCTGGCAACCTTATTAACTGTTTTCAAATAGAGAGCTACTGTAGGAAAGCAAGATTAGACTTTTTCTGTGTGGCTCAAAAAAAAATATTTTTACCAATACAAAGCAAAACATTTTTTACTTTTATCAATAAGTGAAAGCTATAGGAAGACAGTTTTCAACATAAAGAAGAGGCTGCTTTTTTTTTTTTAAGCACCGGGGTTGTCCAAGTGATGAATGGGTCCCTGTTGGTTTCAAATTCTCACAAGAGCATTGGCAGGACACATATTAAAACACCAAAAATCAAAGTTTAGTTTTACAATCATTATCAGCAATTATCCTGTAATAAATTAACAGAAAACTTCAGCACCAAAACCATTTCTTAGACTTTCTGGTTCACCCCTGGTGATCCTTCCAAAGTTTATAGGATTGCTTGCTTCTTCAAAATTAGTACCAAGTTGTTCTTTGACGATGAAAGCCCTGTTTATGGAATCAAAGTTCTCTGACAATTTTCTGTTAGATCTTTTGTGGAGTGAATAAAAGCAGTGGGACTTCTGTTAGTTGTTTTGGCTATTTTGAATATGTCTAACAAGAGTTCTTTGGGCAACATGGGACCTTCTGATATAAAGTATCTAAGAAAATGGCTAAGGCTCAACAAAACACTGATTTTGCATTTAATACCTAGTTCGGCTCTTGCCTGGTTCAACTATCCTTAAAAAATCAGGGATCCTCACAGCAGAAGAAGGAGCTATAAAGTGTAGTTTTTGTAAGTTGAAAACTGGTAACTGAAGGAAAAAATAACAGAAATGTCTATTCGTAGTATTTCAGTAAGATAGAGTTTTTATCTTACAATACACAAGATAGAAGCCTGGAAAGGGGTCATAAAATGATCTTTTGATACAGGCCATTTTTCTTTTTAATCTAAATAAAGGTTGGCTTGGTTTTGCATGTAATTTAAAAATCAGACTAGATATAATCTGATGTAAATTGTCATGGATTAAGGTGAAGGAAATGATTTATATCATAGGAAATACATCTGATATTGATATTTAATTTTCACCATCAAAAAATTGCTTTTGATTCTCATAGTTCCACTTTTAAAAATAATTCTGGAGCAACTAGGAATAAATACAATTAAAAATAACCATAAGCAAAAGAAATACAAGAGAATTTTATGTATCAGTAAAAGCACATAAGAATAAAATCTTATTTCCCCACAGGAAATGGAATCAATAATAAATCTCTCTTCTAGGCCTTATAAATATTGAGAAAAGACAACATATGAATAGTTGCTATACTGACCTTGTTTCCCACAAGGAGTCAATCTTGAAGCAATTATATTTATGATTGTTGTTTCATTGACATAGAATTCGTGGTCAACATTTTTTTCCACCAACACTTTGATTGTTATCCAACTGCCTCTGATGTCTTTTGTTCTAATGAGAAGTCAGCTGTTAATCTTATTAAGAATCCCATATATACTGTTTTTCTCTTGATGTTTTTTGAGATTTTTCTTTTTTGTCTTTGTCTTTCAACACTTTGACTATGATACGTCTAGGTGTGAATTTATCCTACTTGAAGTTAAGCTCCTTGGGAAGTTTCATTCATTATTTCTTTATCTATTTTCCCCCTTTTCTAGGCCTCTGTTCCTTTTCTTCATTCTTTTTATTTCTATTCTTCAGAAAAAATAATCTCTATTGACCTATTTCAAGCTTGCAAAAGGCTAGGTGGGCTTTACTGCATATACTCATAGATTCATACATTAGTAAATTTCTTTAATTAAGAAGATGCTTTGAAGTATTTACTTTTATTTATTCTAATATACTAGATGGTAGTTTTATTCAAGTTATAATGCAGTTATAATTTATTTACAATTCTTTAAGAACACACCAAATTAATAACTGACTTTATTTTTTCTTCCCCTCACAGTCCCATTATAATAGCCCTGGTCCAGAGTTTAGCCGTGTGCTCTTCAATATTGGAGGTCACAGTCCACTGATTTTATATTATCTTAAGATGCATGAGCTAACAGGTATTTACAACACCCTTAGGCGACCCAAGATTAGGATCACTGAAATATCAAAAGAACCATATCCTTTTTTAAGCTTTTTAAAAATACTATCTATTTCTAAAATATCCAAAATGTTTTCCTAAATGTCTTAATTAAGAAAAAATAACGCATTTTTAACCAAAGCTTTTACTTAGCATTTAATTATGTTCAAAACTTTTGTAGCATGTTTGGTTAAAGTATTTTCTATGAGTTTTCATGCAACAAAAATAAGTCAAACACAAAACCTAGGAACTTTAGAAACTGATATAGTTAGCTCTTTAGTAACAGACTATCTTTGCAACTTACTGTTCAGTGTTCAGTTTCAAACATTTGTCAGAACCATGAGAAATGGGCTTCTAGGCATCTCCAGAAGAGAGTTTTAAACATGTTTTAGTGGCATCCTTTGTTCCGTAGAAAATGTATCAAAAAGCTTAATGTGTAAAATATAAAATAAGTGAAATTGGAACTCTTTGCTTACAGCAGGGGTGAGGGGCCAGAGTTCTATTTACACTCCTGTGTTCCCTCTGTATAACCCATCCTGGCCCAGGCCTGTCTGGGGACATGCAGATGAAGCCCCAGGGGATCTAATAGTGTGCCCTCCAAACTGGAACATACACAGCTCTCACTGGAAAAAAAAAGATATCAAGAGTCTTGTTTACATGTACTTCTATCTTGAAAAACAAAAAAGAAGTTGCATTTCACTAGTATTTAGTAAACAGGTACCCTCACTCAGCTGATATTTCAGTCTGCACTCTACCATGCTGATGAATAATGATGGCATCTTTGCTCTTGTGTAATTTTCTGAGCATCACAACATAGTGCTGTTTTCTTTGGGGAGGTTAAGCAGATTTATAGATTATATCATCTAGCTTAACTAAATTAACAACTCACTAGTGAAACAATAGTTTTAAAAGATTTCTGGAAAGAACTGTAGATTGATGATAATATTTATGATGCAAGGATAAATTAGATTCCACATATAAACTAAGAAACAAAATAGAAAACAGACTCATAGCTGTCAGAGGAGAGGAGAGGTGGGGGCTGGATGAAAAGGTAAAAAGATTTAAGCAAAAAACAAAACAAAACAAAACAAAAACAACTCATAGACAGACAACAGTATGGTCACTACCAGAGAGAAATGGGGGTGGGGGAGGTGGAGAGGATAAAGGGGATAAAGGGGGGTAAATGGTGATGGAAAGTGACATGATTTGGGGAGGTAAACACACACTACAATATACAGATGATGTATATAGAATTGTACACCTGAAACCAATATAATTTTATTAACCACTAGAACCCCAATAAATTCTATTTTAAATAGAATAAATTTTATAAAAAAGAAATGGCAGAACAGTATTTCTCCTCCTCCTTGAAGGAGTGCATTTTCAGCCACATTAAGAGATGAAATTAATGGTGGCCCATTTAGTTCTACCCAGATGTCAACCAAAAATATAAAAATAAAAATCTTCAAAAACACTATTTGAAATATGGATATACATCTATATATCATTTTATAAACAATGAATCTAACCCTAAATGTATGTTAAATGATAGTATGCCAGTTTAATTTACAAGGCATTTGTAAACCAACTATCTAGATATCAACACAAATCTCTATAATTTGAGGACTAAAGGTTTGGTGTACCATTAATAAACATTAAATTTTATTTTTTAAAAATTTCATCTCACTGTTTTCTATTTCTACACTGCATATTTTTATAATGAGCATAACATATTATTACAGATTGATGTGTATATAATTTATACATTTAAAATTATACCTATATGGAGTGTGCTCACGTAGCTTTTACTCATGGGGTACATGATCAGAAAAATGTGGAGACCACTGCTCTAGCAGACCTCAGACCTCTTCCCAGGTCACTTCTTCTCCCACATTTCAATCAAGACAACCTCTAGCCTCACTGACCACAAGCACATGGAATTAACTTGGGTGGCTCTGGAACACAAAAAGAAAGGCAAACTATAATGCTAAATCAGTCTTTTTTAAACTTGTCAGTTAAATAATGGAACAAGGATTCTCATCAACCTTGAATTATGTCTAAAACAAAAGTTTTAAACCTCTAGAAGTGAAATTTTTAAGGTATTAAACAACTTTCATAGTAGATTAATTTTATTTTTAACTAATTTTTATTTTGCTTGAAAATTGTTAATCTTTGTATTTATATTTCTGATGAGCATGAATTTATTCAATGGCCATGTAAGAATTCATATCACCAGTTTCCTGAGAATGTGGGAAAAATGTGAGTATGAGTGGGGGTGGGGAAAAGGAGAAGGTGGAGATCTAAAGCATAAAACCTGTTAGGATTATGTCTAATTTAATAAAAAAATTTAAATAAGTCACCCATTGGAAAGTAATGGGTCTTTCCACGATGCTTACTGAGCTTGTAAAATATAATACCCAATGAGAAGAAAACATGTTCCTAGAGCTAATCATGAACAGAATTATAATGATGCCTCACATTCGTCAACACTGGGCAATTTTTTCAAGCATGTGTTGAATTCCCCTATGTATTATCACAGGAATGGCAAGCGTCCTGTGACAGTGGGCAGGCGCCCATCACAGCCACTTCACAGATGAGGAAACTAAAGCACAAGGAGAGTAAGTGGCTTACTGCACAAATTTGCCCCTATAGCCCTGACACTTGGAAAAAAGTGTGTAGCATACAACAGTTGTCAAACAAATGCTAATGGGTGGGTATAGCATGGTTTTATATAAAGACTAGAGGCCTGGTGCACAAAAATTTGTGCACTCGGGAGGGTCCCTCAGCCCGGCCTGTGCCCTCTCTCAGTCTGGGACCCCTCGGGGGATGTCCACCTGCTAGCTTAGGCACGCTTCCTGGGGGATCGGGTTTCAGCTGGCAGTCAGACATCCCTCTGGCAGCCCGGCAGCCCTCGGGGGATGTCCACTTGCCAGGGGGGAGCAGGCCTAAACTGCAGTCAGACATCCTTAGCACTGCTGAGGAGCGGGAGAGGCTCCCGCCAACCACCGCTGTGCTGGCAGCCATCAGCCTGGCTTGTGGCTGAGCAGAGCTCCCCCTTTGGGAGCACACTGAACCACCAGGGGCAGCTCCTGCATTGAGCGTCT